TTTCTTTGACTTTTCTACTAAAAACACATTACAAATTACATATTAACATTCTTTCACTTAATGCATTTTTCTTGAACTCTTTGAGTGTTTTGGCACTTTTCTTTGACTTTTCTACTAAAAACACATTACAAATTACATATTAACATTCTTTCACTTAATGCATTTTTCTTGAACTCTTTGAGTGTTTCTCTTAATTGTTGGAAATGCCTATGTGAAGATATCAACAATTTTCTTCAGAGTTGAATAGTTGAGTCAACTTTTCTATCTTCAATTGCATCTCGAATGAAATGGTACTTGATTGTAATGTGTTTTTTTCTGCTGTGAAAAACTGGATTCTTTGACATAGTAATTGCTGATTTGTTGTCAAAAAATATTGGTTTAGCTTCTCCTAACTTCTCTCCAATGTCTTCTAAAATTTTTCTTAATCAAATGACCTGAGAAGTTGCGAGTGAGGCTGAGATATGTATAGCTTTAGTTGAGGATTGAACGACTGTTTGTTGCTTCTTGGATAGCCTGGAAAATACTCTCGAACCAAGAGAAAATGCATAATGGGAGGTGCTTTTCATGTCATTAAACAACCTCCCCAATCACTATAACAAAAGCTTTTTAACTTCACTTCCAACTTATTCTCAAATCTGATCCCATAATTTATTGTTCCCATTATGTATCTCAAAACTCTTTTTCCAACACCAAAATGCTTATGGCTTGGATTATTCATGAACCTTGAAGGTAAACTTGCGGCTTATATGACATATGGTCTTGTAGTGGTAAGATAAAGTAAGTTTCCAACCAAATTCACATAAAAAGTTTCATCCATTTTCCTTTCTCCGTCATCCTTCATCAATTTCTCATTATAAACAAGTGGATTTTCAACACTTTTTCACATCCAAATATTCTGAATTTTTAAGCACCTTTTCAGCATACCTCATTTGAGAAAAAAAAAAACACTTTATTTTCATCTTGGTATATTTCCATATCAAGGAAATGATGTAGCAACCCTAAATCACTCATTTCATATCTTCTCATCATGTTAACTTTAAAATCTTCAATCAGTTAGCATTATCTTCAGTAAACATCAAAATATCAATATAATGCAACAATAAATGTATCAGTGTTACCTCAATGTTTCACATACAAGGTTGGCTCACTTTTGCTTTTGAGAAATTCGTGTTGAACATAGCTATCAATTTGACTATAACATGACCTCGGTGCTTGTTTGAGCCCATACAAAGCATTTTTTTTAGTTTATATACTTTGTCTTCTTCTCCTTTTGCAACAAAACCTTGATGTTCAACATACACCTCTTCTTTTAGTTCTCCATTTAAAAATGCTGATTTAACATCAAATTGGTACAAATCAACATTTTTGTGTTGCAAGAGCTATAATGCTCTTCTAGTGTCTAAGCGTGCAAGCAATACAAAAGTTTCATCATAGTCGATCCAGGACTGTTGTGCATAACCTTTGAGAACTAATCTTGTTTTGTTTCTCTTGATTGATCCATCCGAATTATGCTTCACCTTGTAGACCTATTTCATTCCTATCGCATTTTTCTTTTTTGGCTTTCCAACTAGCTTCCAAGTTTTGCTTTTCTCAATTACTTCTATTTCTTCCTCCATTGCCTTTTTCCAACACTCACCCTTCATGGCTTCTTCAAAATTTTCGAGTTCAATTATAGAAAAGTTGCATCTTGCATAAACCATTCAAATACCGCATTTTTCTTGGAGTTGAGCTTGGCGATGATGAAGTTGAGCTAGAAGAACTTGATGGACTACTTAGTGATGTGGTGATGAGCTTGGTTGACTTTCATTTTCTTCATTTTCCACATTATCATTGGTTGAATTTTGAGGCAAAGTTATTGGACAGCAACATTTCTTTCAACTTCTTCATTTTTCCAATTCCATGTAGCATTCTCATCAAACAACACATCATGGCTAACGATCACTTTCTTGATCTTCAAGTTGTATAGTTTATGGACCTTAGATTGTGAGTTATAGCCAGTGAAAATACACTTTTCACTTGCCTCATCGAGCTTGTGCCACTTCTCTTTTGGTAGTTGAGTTTAACAAATACACCCGAACACTTTCAAGTGCTTCACCAATGTATTTCTGTCATTCCAAGCTTCTATTGGCATTTTGGTCCGCATTGCTTTTGTTGGACACGTGTTAACTAAATGAACCGCAATATATACCACTTCTGCCCCCCAAAAACTTTTGAAAGCTTTCCAGCATGTAACATAGCCTTTACCATCTCCATCACGATTTGATTTTTCCTCTCCGATACCCCATTATGTTGTGGAGTAATCCAACCGCTACCCGCCTTTCAACACCTTCATCTTGACAAAACTTATCAAATTCTTTTGAAGTCTATTCCTCACCATTATCACTTCTCAAAACTTTTATGAAATAGCCGCTTTGTTTCTCAACAAAAATCTTGAATTTTTTATAGATTGTAAAAACTTCACGATTTTATCTCATAAAATAAACCCCAATTCATTCTTGTAAAATCATCAATAAAGAGAATGAAGTACTTATTTTGGAATTGGGATGGTGTACGCATCGATCCACATACGTCTGTATGTACCAATTCAAGTGGCCTTTTCACTCTTCAAGCTAATCCTTTCGAAAATGGTTGCAAGTCATGTTTCCGAGAGTACATCCTTTACAAATTTCAAAATTTTCATCAATCTTTAGAAGCCCGTGCATCATGTTTTTCTGCTGTAACAATTTCAGCCCTTGAAAGTTCAAATGACCAAGCCTTTTGTGCAATAACCATGAGTCATTAACCACCATTCGATAAGCTTTGTCAATCAAATGTTTGAAGTTTAGGGGGAAACTTCTATTCTTCTTTTTCAGCCTTGTTATGAACAAATTCCCAGCTCTTTTATCGTTAATAACACAAGCATCATCTTCAAAATATAGAGAATAACCATTCTCTTGAAGCTATCCAACACTTGGTAAATTTTGATCCAAATCCAACACATGCATGACATCTCAAATAAGTCTTGAACCCTTTTTTGCTTCAACTCCAATTACTCTTTTTCCTTTCACTTCTACTAAATCTCTATTTTTCCAATCTTACTTTTGAATTTGTATTCTCCATATCAATGAAGATATTTCCATTTGATGTCATATGATTGGTGCATCCACTATCCAAAAATCATTAAGTTTCTTCTTACTTGGAGAAATTTGAACTTGAGAAGCATGAATCATATCTTGATTCGTATGCACTCGAAAATACATAAAATAAGTTTGATTTATTCTCCTTCCTAGTTGCACAATTAGCTTGTTGGGTGTTCTTCACTCTACGGTCCCTTTTTAAATGTCCAAACTTCTACAATTGTGACATTGTGGCTTCCATTTGAACCAACAATCTTTTTCATCATGATTGTTTCTCTTGCAAATTTTACACTTTGTGATCAATCTTCTTCATTAAAACTCATTTCAAAGTTACTTCTACCTCAACCTTTTGGACTCCTTCCTCTTCCTCTAGTACTTCTTCCACCTCTACTCATGTTTTCACAAACATATTGTCGTTTTTTAACATTCTTAAAACTAACATTAAGTTTTGACTGAGAAGCACTCTCAATTGACTTTTCGGAAAATCAAATTAATCTCTGCTCGAATGCTTTCAAAAAAACCCATGAATTCTTCCACCTCCAACTTTAAATCTTTTGTTTCTCCAATCACAACCAAAAGAGGACAAATTTTTTTGACAAGCTAATCTGACTTTTTCCCCCATTTTTTCATTTGAAACCTTCTCACCATATGACTTCATTTTATTCACAAGTTCATTGAATATATCGATAAATTATTAAACACATTCTGTAGGAATTGGTTAAGAATAAAAATGGAAAAGGTGACTTTTGCATCAATTTCAGTCAAATATTCGGACTTGATCCGATGTCAAATTACTAATGCAAAGAGATTAATGTATTCTACTTGTCGAGCAGATCATCGTGGTATATTTGAAAGCTCAAAATCAATCCCGGATGAATGAGAAATTGCGGTCTAAAGTTGAAAGAAAAATAGAGGAAAAATTAGCCTAAATTTTTGCCTAACTACATCGTTTGCCTATCACTTGAGCAACGTGGCCGTCGCTTGAGCAACAAGCTAGCGACAGGCAAGCAAAAATGATTCTATTAAAATTTTGTCATTGACGCTAGAGCCAATGGTCAATGATAGGCTAGCGACAGCAAATGATGCTTCTATTCATAAAGTTGGAAGGTTTAGTACACTACACTTCACCCCCACAAGCCTCACCCTTTATAAATAGGATCCTTGGGACGTCAATTTCTTCATTGGGAATGGTATGCAATAATAGCATAACATTACTCTCTTCTTTCTCTGCCAAAATTCTACATAAACTTCGCTTAAATTCTGGTTTTCTTTCTTTCATTAAAAAGGAGTACAAAATTTGGTTTTGGTTCATTGATATTGTGTCCTTGAGTGCTATTGACGCAAGAAAATAGTCGTCGTGTCTTGGAAGTTGATTGTCATCATCCGTAGACACCGTTGTGGGGCAAAATCGACTTAAAACAAAAAGTGCAACTATTGCCTCGACTTTTGCATCCATTTCATTAGGCATTATTTTGTGGAATACTTTTTTCTTGTTTCCTTGCCGTTATTATGTCCAACTTTTGGTAATGTTGGTAAGTTTAATTTTGGCTTTTAAAGTCATCACTCGATTAATTTTCCAACACATTCATTATCTTTCATCTTCATATTTTTGAATTTCCTTCTAATGGATTGGAGTTTAATGGATCTTACCTTCAAATCTCCTTGATACTCTTCTCTTAGGATTTCTCAATTTTCATTGGCTTTGCCATCTTTTTTATTTTCTTAATTTTATAACTCACTTCTAGTAATCTCAATTTATTGTTTGACCTTTAATTAGCTCACTTTATTGGTGCTATTGAAATCATGATTACATACCTAAGTAATATTGCAATGAATTGACACAATAATTAGTAATAATAATTTGATTTTTTCTAGGAACTCCAATTTTTGACAAAGTTATAGTAATATTATATCGTCATGAACTCAAAGTAAAACTTAACAAAATCTACTAAACAGAAGCATCAAACAAAGGTTTATTACTACTTACTAATATGCGCACAATAATTCTTAGAATTTTATTTTTCTAAGAATATATCGTACATTTATTCATTCCATTGGATTTGAGGAACTGAATTTCACTGCATCGGAATTTCGCTGCTACTTTCTGATGGAATACTGTAAACAACAAGATCGAGTTATTAATCAATAAAATTCTCGGTATGAATTTCATATAGGTAGAATTCACAACATATATGCAAAGAGAGATATATTACAGGCAGTTGATGAAGGGTAAGAACGGAACAAGATCGCAGAGGCCGGGAATGAGGTTTGCCAGTGACGGAATAACCCCGCCGATTGGATTTTCCTTCAGACACTGGCATACTACATCAGCTGCGACGCCGATCAAGGACTTGACGCGGCCGCAACATTCAGCCGTAGGAAGCGGCAAACCACCGTTGAGGAAATCTTTACAGGGATTCAGCGCTGAAACGACGCTGTTTATACAATCAATAGGTCCTCCGTTATTCAAAACTGGACTTGTTAACAGAACCAAAAGCACCAGGCTCAGCATCCTCATCCTAATTGCCATTAATTTTATTTATGTAGTGATTAATTGATGAAGAAAATGGCAGAGTAGATGATAATACAGAGATTATGCTCTATAATTGAGTTTATAAAAGAGTCACAGCTCAATGAAGAAATCTCAATAATTCGCAGAAAGAGACAAGCATAGTCTGAAAGAAGTTAGAGAAATCTGATTGCCAATTTTGAGAAGATTTGCAATATCTGATTGCCGTGAAACTTTGGACACAATAGTTACTGATAAGTAAGTCAAATTCTATATTTAATTCTGATGTAATTTTAACTGTAATTTTTATGATCATCTTCTAAAAGGATAATTATATTACCACCGCAAAATTTATTTCCTACACCACATTATAATAACACCACAATTAAAATCTATTTTGAATAATTACACCACAACAACTTTACAATTTTACTTCTAATCCAACAAAAAATGAATTAACAAAAATAATGTTGTGGTGTACCCATCATAATCCATACCATAAATATCTATACATATACATGTACAAACATGTATACACACAGGCACTTACTTTAGATTTGGGAACGATATGAATCTGCTATTATATTTTTCCTGCCATAAATTAATAAATTTTCTCCATTTCATATCTTCGATACAATTGGAAGAGGTTGTTAACTTGGTTAATTGCACTACAAGCTGTTGTAGTTGCACCCGTTTGTATGGCCGCATTCATGGATACATCAATAAGGAAGAAATATACAACAGAATTCGGATCTCAGACAATATATTCCTTGGAAGCTACAAACTCAATTGTCCCCGTGCATAGCTCAGGCCTTTCATCAATATCTCTACGCCTACCATCTAGACGAATTAATTCGATTTATCATTGAAACGTAATTTTTTTAATTGTTGTTCTTCCATGGAATCAATTTAATTTCGATGAGAGATATTTAATTTCTTTAATGCCCAAACTTAATTGAAAGATGTAGTTTTGAGGGTGGGGTTGGAGTAGGGATTGGGAAGAAGATAAATTTTTAAAGGTTTTATGATTGTGGTGGAAGAATAAATTATTTTATGTGATAAATATATTGAAAACCCATTAAAGTAATTTTATTTAAGGTTATTTAAGTAAATAAAAAAATTGTGGTGTAACTAACAATATTTGTAATAGTAATATAATTACCCCTTCAAAAACTCTCTATTTACAAAGAGCAAGCATCTCATTTACAATAGATAATAAATTTAAATTTAGATAGTAAAATGTTTTTATACTAATATCTAATTTGGTTCTTGGTTTTCCTTTTTAGTATATATTTATTAATTTCTTTCATCTTTTATTTAATTTTATAGTAACTGGCCAATCAATTTAAATATTATTTAAATAATTTAAAAAGTATAGTATCAAAATCTATAACTTATTATGCCCCTGTTTGAGCTTCGTTTTTTTAGTCAAGATTTTGGAATATTATTTTATTGGAGAATGTGTGGTTAAAAAATAAAGAAATTTTTTTGATTTATATGTAAAATTATTTTATGAGAGATTGTATGGTTGAAAATAAATTTTTAAAAAATTAGTTTGAACAAATGGAGTCCAGGCATAAGCTAAATGCATTCATTATATTATAAGATCATAGAGCCATACCAATTTTAATTTCTTGAACTTTATTTTATTTTTATGTATTAAATATCAAAAATAAACAAGATCATGGATTTAAATAGGCTAGTCTTCGATTTGTTCAAAGGCTTCGACTCGAATGTCAGTTGTATCAACTAAATTTACTCATGCACATGTTATTAGATGTTTCATTCGACAAATCCTAAATATTGAGAATAAAATAGATGAAATTGAAGATCATTGTGAATTTTTATTTTCCTTCTTTAAATCAGTATGGTAATTTGAAATGCAATATGCCCTTTTTCTCAATACCTCACTTCATAACAGTGGTTCAGATTATGTTGCCAACTATAGAAATTATCAAACAACATTTTAGTTCCTATTTTATGCTGCAGTTCGGAACATTGTAGTTTTGCTCTACTTGGATATTAAATAAACATGTTACATGCTTTGATATCTAAGTTTCAATTGGTTATTGTGAACTAGCAAAATACAAGGTTAGAAATGGAAGAGCATAACAGCACAAGATGCAAAATTTGGTGTTGATTGGTAGAGCTTGATATGGTAGGAAAAATAGGATAAATCGTACTTACACTTGGAATGTAACATTTACTATATTAGGTGATTCTTTTTTTGATAAGTATGTATGAATTGTGAACTTACATTTTACCGTGGAATTGGTGTATGTGATGACTAACATTACAGTTTATTTTCTTGCAGCATAGGAAATTATGGAAACTGGAAATGAGGAACTTGTTTCAAAATTCGATAATGACAATGCTGTCGAGAATGTTATCGGGGTGGAAGAAGAAACATTAGGACACAATGAGCCTATTGTACTTGTGGTGGGTATGATGTTCAACAATGATAAAAAATTGTTTGACTTCTACCAGAAGTAAGCATAAGATGTTGGTTTTTCAGTTAAAAAAGAAACTCAAATAATGGGGACGATGGACTGTTGAAATATGTGACCTTAACATATATTCGTGAAGGTCGAAGAACGAGTAATGCAAACGGTTCTTGAAATCCACAACCAATCAATCAAACAGATTGTAAAGTAAGGATCTCTGCTTCTTCAGATAGCCATGGAATGTGAAGAATTAACACAGTCCACCTTGACCATAACCATAGAACTAGTCTTTCCAAGTTTAGGTTGTATCGATGCAACAGAGAGTTGAGCGCAACAGTGAAATGAAAATTTGAAGTGAATGATTTGGCAGGAATTCCGTCACACAAAAGTTTCAACTCCGCAATTGTTGAAACAGGGGAATATGAGAATATGACGTGTGTGGAAAAGGACTGTCACAATTATATTGAACAAGTGAGGCGATTGCGACTTGGAGAAGGAGATGTGGCTGCAATACAAAGTTATTTTTCAAAAATGCCAGGACGATGCTTGGATTTTTACTTCAGTATGGATGTAGACGATGAGTACCGCCTAAAGAAAATGTTTTGTTCTGATAATAAGTATAGGCAGGCATACATGGAGTTTGATGATTTTGTCACATTTGATACCACTTATCTCACTAACAAGTATGAAATGTCATTAGCACCTTTTGTTAGCGTGAATCATCACGGTCAATCAACTTTGTTCAGTTGTGGATTGTTATCGAACAAGGACGCAAATAACTTTGCGTGGCTGTTCAGGATATGGCTTGAGTGCATACACGGTAAAGCTTCTCGTAAAATAATTACTCATCAAGATAGGCCATGCAAAATGTTATTGAGATCGTTTTCCCAAATACAAAGCATATGTGATGTTTGTGGCATATTTTGAAGAAGTTGCTACAGGAGTTCGGATTGGTGTATGATTCACAGAATATTAAAGAATTCGAAGCATGTTGGAAAGAGATGATCGAGACATATGAGTTGATGGATAATGAATGTTTGTCGGGGTTGTATGTTAATAGGGGTTGTTGGGTGCCTTGCTTTTTGAAAATGATTTTTCAAGCAGGGATGTCTACAATTCAACGAAGTGAGAGTATGAATGCGTTTTTCGATGGATATGTCCATTCGAAGAGCTCGTTGAAGTAGTTTGTGAAATAGTGCAAAGGAGCACTTATGAATAAGGTCGAAAAGGAGTTCCAAGCTGCTTTCAAGTCATACTCACAAATTGTACCGTGCGCCATAAATTATGAAATCGAAAAGCATTTTCAATCAATGTATACCATGTTGAAGTTCAAAGAAGTCTAAGATGAATTCAAAGGTAAGGTATATTGTGATCTCATATCTGTTTCAGAGGGATCTTCCGGGACCACGTATGAGGCACGTAAGGATGTCCTTAATTACGAGCACTAGAAGAAGAAATTTTTTTTTTTTATGTCATTTAAGAGAGAGACATCTAAGTTTATATGTAGTTGCCACTTGTTCAAGTTTTGAGACATTGTTTGCAGACATGTGATTACGATATTGATTCCAAATGACGTCAAAAAATTGTCTGAGTATTATACACTACGAAGGTGGAGGAGGGATGTTAGTAGAGCATACAAAAGGGTTGCAGTAAATCACAACGGTCTGGTCAGTACTCCCAAGCAGTTGAGGTATGACAGTATGTGTCAAGCTTTTGCACAGGTGGCTGACCTTGATGCAGATGACCAGTGTCGGACACGTTTGATATTGGACTTGATAAAAATACAAGTGAACGAGCTTATGTCAACGAAATTGTGTAGTGCAAGCAGTATCATTTCGAAGCTTACTATACATTTATCATCTCAGTATTCTCCTTCACAAACTAATACAATCAACAGCATACGGGATCTAAATATTGCAAAGAAAAAGGGGGCACCCCGGAGACTTCAGAGAAAAAGTCCGTTGGAGTCAAAGAAATTAGGGGTTTGTTCATCTTTTCACGTCTCTATTCTTCAACAGCCATGAATTTGTACTGTGATTTCATTTTATTGTACACGCAACCAAGTTCAATGGTAAGCAAAGGAAATTGATTGAGACCAAGGCACAGTAATAATGAAGAGGCTGCACCTGAATTTGTAGCTTCGCAATAACAATATTCGATGCGAACATCATTCTCTTATTCACAACTATTGTTGGTGAGTACCATCATATTATTAAACTATTTGTTTTAGGTGTTATTCACATTCTTTTTTTATGTAGGGTGATGCCGAAAGCTTTGCGTGTACACGACCCTTGCCAACATCGGATGCGATCCCACCATTGCCAACGAGTGTTATATTCAATCCACAAGGTGATGGTGAGGTTAATTCATTACATTTCTATATGATCTCTTCAAATACGTGTACTAATATTTGTACTGTTTGACAGGTCATACGTTTCCTTACTACAATACGCATATGCCACAGCAAGGTTGTTCAACCTCATTTATAGTGTTTTATTGAGATATTTATGCCTCTAGTTTTGTATTTTGTATCTTTCTACTATGTGGAATTTGACACGCTGCTTTTTTCATGTCGTTGTCTCATGTAGGATCAAATTGGTTATGTTTCTGGAGTTACTTTGTGCATGTAGCATACATGATAGTTGTGCATTCTTCTGGCACGATGCTTGCTATGTTTATAAATTATTTGAGCTGTTATCTGAATTCGAGGAACCTATCGGCTGCTATATTTTAGCATCATCCCCAAATTTATACGGTAGATAATGCCCTAGTCAAATGATTGCTTGTTAGGAATTTTGAATTTGAATTGTAAAGTACTAGAATGGTTTCTCTAGCTCTCTAGAAATGTGTCGACTTCTTCATCCCCATCTTTCTTTTCATCGTAGTAATTTTTTTTTTTTTTTTTGGGTGCATGTGTGTGTTGTGAGTGGATGGGTTTTAATCTAAAGTCCAATCCATTTGATCTAGTTTTAGAGTTGTTTTAATCTTTGTTGCTATGTGGCAGAATTTAATCCATTTTTCGTTTTCATTCCAGCATTAAATGAAGCATTAACAGGGGAGATACGACATTTGAAGATTGCAACTGCTGAATTGGGTGGCCATACAATTGAGAAGAATCTGTAGCTTTCAATAACTTTGAGCACTTCATCTCCTTTACTTGTAGTTTTGTACAGTTTGTACATTATCCATATGGATAATGTAGTAATTCCTTTCATAAGAGTGTTGATCAACTGCCAACTTCTACTTGTATTTGTGTACAATTTGTGCAGCTATGATCATTCTTGCTAACATAAGTAGCTTATATCTACCATTCATAGTTTACGAATGAACACATAGAATTTACAAAATGTAACGAAGAAACATAAGATGCAATTTACATAAATTCTAATTTGATACAAAATATAAAGTAACGCTACACAAGTCTTTAAATTACAAATATAACCCAAACAACCCATTGACGGAAATACTAATAATCAAGCCAATCCTTTTTTTTCCCATTCAATTCCAAGCATCATTTTCCCTTGCGAAATGTCACATGCAATGATACATCGACGTCTCATTTCTCGGTTATTCGGGATAGAGTTTCAAGCATGCTTGGCAAATCTTGAACTTCCTCATTTCCCGCAATAGTCATCACTCGTTGATGTCGCTACATTGTTCACTTGAGTCTTCTTCGACCACCTATTTGAAAAAACCACAATCGTTACTACGAGTGTTGAATAATCGCCCTTTGTTACGTGTCTGTTTTTCAACCTCTAAACATTTATGAAATCCATGTGGACACCATGGGCAATGACTTTTTCTCGTACATTTCCCGAATGAGCGCCAATTGCTTCGATAACTGTGACATATTTCGACATTCCTTCCTCTCATGCTGAGATGGAAAACATCCACATAAATGAAATTATCAATTTATGTAATAAACTATAATCGGTAACATAAACATTAGCACTATAATTAAATTGCCATTTCAATTTTTTCAAATTGCAATTCCACAATATATTTGACTAAGCTTACAATAAATCTAGTGTCAATTTTGGATCTGTCAATCCCATTTGTTCTTCAATTTCGAATATTTCAATCCATCAAATTGTAGTTCTATAACAATATTTGACTTCTCTAATCAATCCCCTTTGTTCTTCAACTTTTAATTACACAAACAATAAATAACCATTTAATTCCTTCCATTATTTTTCGCAAACTGTTATCTGCAATTTCGTTCAGTGAATTCATAGTTGTGAAAGAAATTTCAGCCTACGATCAAAGATTAGATGTGAAGCACTTACTTGAGATGTATAAACGGAAAGAGGTGTCTTCTTCAATTGGGCGCAGTGGTTGTTTCGCGGTGGTCGAAGATCAGAGCAAGGTTCGAACTTCTTCAATGTCGACAAATCTTCGACTTCATGGTTCACACTTTTTCTTCTTCACTGTCTTTGTTGCTGGTCGGAAACGAAGCTAATTTCGACGGCGTTGTCCCACTATCATCAGTGAGGGAAGGTAGGGATGGGGATGAAGAGGTTGGGAAGGGTTTTGTTTGAATTAGGGCGAAATTAAAAGAGAATAATCAGGGCTACCTCATTATCTGACCTTCCTTTTTTTCATTCTTCCCACATCATTATGTGAGACCCTTGTGAAGGTATGTTCTATACGCCAAGCGGAATTGTTCTCTCTCATAAACCCATAAGGAAAAATTCAGGAAGGGTACGGATCTAGGAGATAAACTAGGAAGAGGGTTGAATAATCTTTCTGAATAGGAGCCTATTCTCGTTAATAACTACATTGACAACACTGATTCTAATAACAATGATAGTGAGTCATTGAAGATGGCGTCTACGAAATTTTTTTTATTGATCAAGGATGCTGTGCGACATCCAAGAAACGAGAGTCGGGAGCATAAGCAAGGTTGGATAATTTACTTGATTGATTAGGTGATTCGTGTTCTGAATTTTATTCATTATGGAATACTTGATTTGCATGCTAATTTTTAGTTGGATGATAATTGATGCTATTGGAAATATAAATTTTATGAATTGGCATTGGAGTACTTTGAAAGCCCAAGAACAACTAACCAAGAGGGGGGTGAATTGGTTATTCTATACTTTTTCGAAAATAGATTCAAATATAGGCAAATAATGATAAATAAACAAGATAACACAAAAAAAATAAAAGGAAGGGAAAAGAGAGTGCAAACGATATAATAAGGAGGTTTGATCCAATCACGATCTACGTCCTCCGTTACCAAGCTCTCCGTCACGAGCAAGGTCTTTTTCACTATCTTTGATTGACTTGTGGTGCAATCCAACCCTTACAATGCTTCCGATGACTTATAACTAAGGAGCACTGATCCTTTTACACGTTGAGCTTTCCGGGACCTCAACACGACCCACAATTCAATAAGCAAGAGAATCAAGGTTACACTTGAAAAGCTTCTCTCTTAACAAATGATATAAATATAACGAAGTATTAAGAGAGAAGTAGGCACAACACCTCAATAGATCACAAAGAATATAGCTCAAGTATTGTGCGAAAAACTTTTTATCAAGATATATGATTTTTACAAAGTTACTTACTCAAAACCTTTTTCAAAAAAAATATTTTGACCTCTTAAAGATTGAGAAATAAGGTAGATGAGATTAATAAGTAGCTTTCTTTAATGCTCTAAAATTCACACTTTTAAGAAGGTAAAAAGAAAGGTATTTATAGCCATTAATCGGGAGATCCGGACACGTGATTCGGACGTCCTCTTGGTATCCGGACGAGTAACTAGCCGTTTGTCAAACGGTTAAAAATTTGACCGTTGGACATTTCATTCGGACGTCCGGATGGCCATATTTAATTTTTTCATTTCTTTGAAGAAAGTTTCTTTAAAAATATTTTTTAACGGTTTTGTTATATACTTTTTATAGATAAGTAATGTCATAAATGTTTGATTGTGAAAATTGAATTACTTATCTTTTTGAAAAATAATTTTTAAGCAAGTCAGGTTTGTTATGATAATTCCCGTGCATGAAGGTTGTTTGAGCTATGATCGATGTGAAATATTAAGGTGTTTTACCTTTACACTTGAGTATACAAATGCATCTAGCTAATGTCTTCAATTTCTTCATCCAATGCAATTTGGTGTGTGAGAGCTCGATTTTCATTTCCTTGTACGTAAATCTTGTGTGTATATCATTTTGTACCAAGGTTGCATGATTCTCGAACTAAATCTTTTCGTGTCATAAATTTGCAATAATCACTGTCAATCACTTAAATTCAATTTGTTAGAATCAAACGCAATTTGTTTGTAATAACCAAAATAAGAAGTCAACCATTAGGTCAACAATTTCCCCCTTTTTGATTATGACAAACAAGATGATTTTTGCAAAATAAATATTGAACAAATTGAATTAGCATTAATAAATCAGGAGCATGATTTGTATATTGCAAGTAATATTCCCCCTGTCAATATGTATATATCTTTTTATAACATTCCCCCTTACTATATTGCATAATCATCTGCTCATTTTCTTCCCCCTTTTAGCATAAGCAAAAAGATCGAACAAGTCAAAAGCATGAAGAGAAAAAAAAACTTAGGAAGTTAACCATTCAAAAGATAAAAGTAGCAATAGATAACGGCTAACATGATAATAATAGTAGACAAGAAAGTAGACTAAGGGGCCGGAGGTGGGGGTGGAGGAGGAAACCTAGTATAAAAGTCAGTGAAAAATGCAGTTTGCTGAGCCTGCATATCAGCTTGTCACTGATACATCTCAATCTGTCGCTACTTCATCTCGAGCTGTCGGTCCTGGATAGATATTTGTTGAGCCTGCATCTGGAGAAGTAGACTGCCCATGCTGTCGACCGATGAGGTAAGAGAATCAATTCTCCCATGGAGAAGATTACAGTGCTCCTCAGTAACTGTGGAACGCTCACGAGTAGGAGGCACACTTGAGCCTGGAATGTCAGATGCTGGAGCAGGAACTTCAGGTACTTCGTTGTCTGATTCGGCCTCATCTTCAAATGGGAGAGTGGATGGACCGGAGGTAGGATCTAACCCCTTCGTATGAGCTACCCATTGCCCGTGTTCCTTTACTATCTTCATTCGTTTTAAGGTTTGAATGTTAATAGTATCGGTAGGGTGTAATTTTATAAAATCTTCACCGTCCAATGAAACGTCAAAGTGTTTAAAGATTTTTGTGAGAAGCATCCCGTAAGGTAAAGCTTTAGTGTGTCGTGATGCGTGCACAAGTTTCATAAGACCAAGGGCAATAGTGGGAAATCAAGTTTACGCCCGACTAAAAGAGAGTCCAAAATAAAGAGATCGAAGTGATTAACTTTGTCCCGATGACCTTTGCGGGGAAAAATAACATGTGCAATTACATTTTGTAAAACTTTGCAAGGAAGAGTTAATTGATATGCACTTAATTTTGTGATATTTTCAAAAACTTTCCCCGTGACTCGACGACATGCATCAGAAGGATCGTAACCATCCACCGTCGGGGGAGACTTATGTAAAAATACTTCCAAATCACAAGGTTCAAGATGAAGAATAGTACGAATTAGGGCTTTTGAAATTGTAAAGCAAACATTGTTAACAAAGCATGTGATCTTGTCGGAACATGGTGAAAAGTGCATGTTTTGATAAAATTCTTTCATTAGACGTGGATAAGCATGTTCTTCCAATGTTGCTACGTTTATCCATCCCATTCGTTCAAAACATTCCTCAATATGAAATGCAGGAGCTTGAAGAGTAAAATCCATAAAATCAACATTCTTACAGATTAAAATGGGTGATTTTTCAAAAGGGTTCAGTTGCACCTCCGGTTCCGACTCCATTTCATGGTCTGATGGTGAAGGAGGTCTTTGCGCACTTTTTCTTCCCCGTTTTCCACGATTGGAACCCGAAATAGTAAAGAAATGGGTGAAATTTCCACAATTTTAGAAAAAATCACAAAATCCCTAAACGGGTGATTTCTAGGGCACGCTCAAAATGGTGATTTTGCTATGAAAAATCAAACTATTAGTGGAGGAGAGTAATGGTATATGAAATGCCTGAGTTATTTTGTGGAATTTGCAAGAAAATTTTCAAAATCGAAGAGGAATTCGAGATGAGAGACAAAGGGGATTTTGGAAGGTAAATATTCGATTTTTGGATGGAAAGTGGTGCTAATCGGTTGGTTTTGTCAAGTAATAGATGAAGTGAACAACATTTGAACAACAATGGTGCAGAGAGGTGGATTTGCAGAAGAAACAGCGAAGAAGATGGAGAGAAATGGAAGATGAAAGAGATGGAAGCGTGGTTTTAAAATCTAAATTGCGATGTTCCGGACGTCCGTTTCATAATCTGGACATCCGGATGACAAAAATTTGAAATTTTGTAAATTCTCTATCAATCCAGACAGTATAGTCCGGACAAGTGTGGCTCGTCCGGATTGAAATTTGAATTTTTTTTTAAATAATGGTTTTGAGAAAGTAAAATGAAAATCATGCAAGAGAAATTAAAAAAACGTTCTATCACTCAATTTATTTCATTTTCTTCAAGAATTCCTAAACCTCTTCTAATGTACAAAAAGCGGTCATGCGCGAGAGGTTTTGTAAGAATATTAGCTAATTGGTCTTCGGTCTTTATGAATTCTAATTCAATATCTCCTTTTTGGGTATGATCACGAAGAAAATGATGTCGAATCTCGATATGCTTAGTTCGTGAATGCAAAACGGGATTTTTAGATAAATTTATAGCACTAGTATTATCACACAAAATGGGTATACGATCGTAAGTCAAATGATAATCACATAAAGTTTGTTTCATCCAAAGTGTTTATGCACAGCAACTAGCGGCCGAGATATATTCGGCCTCGGCGGTGGATAGTGCAACAGAATTTTGTTTCTTACTAGACCAAGACACGAGTGCAAAGCCTAGAAAGTGATAATTTCTGCTAGTGCTTTTACGATCAACATGACATCCAGCCCAATCGGCATCCGAATAATTAATTAAGTCAATATGAGTGTCTTTTGGATACCAAAGTCTTAAAGTTCTCGTACCACTTAGATAACGAAAAATTCTTTTCATGGCACTTAAGTGTGATTCTTTAGAATTAGATTGAAAGCGAGCACATAGACAAGCACTAAACATAATATCGGGTCTGCTAGCAGTTAAATAAAGAAGGGATCCGATCATACCTCGATATTTTGTGACGTCCACGGATGTACCTTGCTCATCCTTATCAAGCTTTAGAGATGTGCTCATTGGTGTGTTCATAGGCTTAATATCATGCATGTCAAATTTCCTAAGCATGTCTAATATATATTTATTTTGATTTATGAAAATTCCTTCTTTCATTTGTTTAATTTGAAGACCAAGAAAAAATTTTAACTCACCCATCATGCTCATTTCAAATTCTTTACTCATGCATTTTGAAAATTCCTCACAAAGATGTGTATTTGTAGCGCTAAAAATAATATCGTCAACATAAATTTGAGCAATGAGCATATCATTTTTATGAGTTTTTATAAAAAGTGTAGTATCCGCTTTTCCAATTGAAAAACCATTTGAGAGAAGGAATTTACTTAACCGTTCGTACCAAGCTCTAGGAGCTTGGTCAAATCGTAAAGAGCTTTTTGAAGTTTGAGTACATGATCCGGATATTTGTAATCTTTAAAGCCGGGAGGTTGCTCAACAAAAACTTCTTCTTGAATGAACCCATTTAAGAAAGCACTTTTAACATCCATTTGATAAAGTGTAAAATCTTTATAACATGCAAATGCAAGAAGCATACGGATGGATTCTAATCTTGCAACGGGTGCAAATGTTTCTTCA